TTCTTTCGTCCGAGGACTTTAATGACATTGCGCTCTAGCAACAACAGATGGTACGAATTTTACCTACTAATTTATATAAATTAGGTATGATATTATACCTTTGTCAATTCCATTGCAAACTGTCAGGCATTGTCTTCAGTTTATATCCAAGCTCCCTTCCGCCCTTTGTTCCTTATGTTCTTAAGCATCATGTTCTCAGTGCACACATATGAAGGTTCTTGTTGCCTGAACTACATTTAACGTACGCGTTCCTCAAGGTCGCAGTTCATACCAAGCGCCGTTCGTATGTACTTTATGACATCTATAAACTTCTTTAAAGGTTATATTGCACAAATACTTGGTACAACCAGAACTCTCACACGACAATAACGAGTTAGAACCTGGTGCGCGATGCCATTTTCGAAAGATTTTATGAAAACTACACTCGTAGTGCAGTACTAAAGCATAAACCCAATCATTAACTCTTTTGGACATCTGCTCGAAAGTATTGTCTTTATTTATTGATTTCATCTACTTAACGACCATGCTTTGGAAGCATACGATGTGCAAACCAATGTCATAAATTATAGACCATGCATGTATAAATTGAGTGTACCTACCCTGGCAGAAATGAATCATTACATTACATTATATATTAGTTAGTGAGGCGGACACAGCCACATGGGGGTGCGATCCATGTTCATATGATTCTTGACGGACTGAGCTTCCTGTCACTAATGGAAAACAGACGAAACACCACTTTATTTATTCTCACAATAAGTGTCCGTAGATGTTTTGTTTTCATCAACTGCGGATCCCGTCCCACAAACTCAATCCAGTGCAGTTGCATTAGTGATGAGTAAATGAGAATATAATTTGTTTTTCCCTTGATATTAGTGCAGCAACCATATGGATACCATTGACAGTTTTGTGTGTTCAGTTCAGCTTCCGCATGTTAGTTCAGTAGTCCTACGTTCACTATGTTTGAAAAAGACTATGTGGCAGATGATTGGACTTATAAGATGAAAAGCAATACAAGCGTTTTTATAAGTAAATTGATGAGGGCCACTGTTGTTTATCATCTCCCATATTTGTTTATGGCTGTGCTGCTGTATCAGGTTCCGTATGATGTAGGTTCGACTTTGAAATTCATCAGTTACCAGTGCTGTAGATATGGTGACCTTGCTAGCACTTGGAACTGCCATACATTTGGATTAATCACATCAAACGAGCTGATAATCTATTCTTCCCTTACGGTATACAGAGAAATGTGTAAATATACTTTCTGAGTCCGAGACAAACCAAAAGGACTTTTGATTCGTCTAATCTTCTTGTACTTCCAATCGGCTACACAGGAGTATGCATGCCCTGGTGATTCTTTACTAACTTTAAAACAATAAAACAATTGTACAGTTAATTTGTTGTGGCTTAATCACTTGGTTAGGACAAATAGTGTAGCAAACTGAAAAGTTCTCAATGGAATCACTCTGATACGACTAGACAGTCTTCGTAGTGTTGTATCTCTTCATATTTAAAAACGTTTTACCTGCACTTGAAAAGCTGTTGATGGCAATTCGTGAAGAAAAACCAGTTCGGTGAGGCGTACTATTTAGAAATGTTTCTGGTGCTCTAAACTGTATTTTGAAACTGAAAACAAGTTGTATATTTGGTCTAAACTGATGTACATCATGCACTTCAATGGGATTACGAGAATATTTGCACGACGACGAGTTGAAAAGAAACATTCAAGTTCGTGATAAGTAAAACTGTAAATTCCTGATATTCTACAAGGTGAAGAAAGTGGATTATGTCTCAGTAAGTTATCTCAAGTCTCCTACTGAATGCGCTAGATCGTGATCAAATGTCTTGTTACCTTCTCGAGATTTAGATGGTGGTTGGCATTCGATCTGCACTAATAAGGACTAGACAAGCATGACATTGATCACCACCCAGTGATCAATCAATTGTGACCTTCTCGAGGTAGAATGCTAGATAGATTGGCAATAGTTATTTTCTAGTTACCAAAAATGACATGGACTGATTAAATGCTTGCATCCACTGTGGTGTTGATAAACTAGTCGTGTTGAGAACTGTTGGCTTTGCAGCTTCTTTCCCATTGCTAAAAGCATGCTGGGATGAATTTAACGGCTCCCCTATTCTGGAGAAGTTGGTTTGCCATAGTTCTAACAGAAAGCACAAACTTTGGAGTGAATCGGAAGTAGGAATTTATCAGTTAGTTAGGCGTGCTTATTGGCCTGATGGTTGTCGTTTCTAACCATTGTCACCCACTTAATTTTCAGTTAGTCGGTTGATTGTCTCAAACCCTATTCAAAAATTTCTGATGCGCAGGGTAATATTATGCCTCCAGTGTAACTTGAGTCTTTTATAAGCCAAACGTACGAACTAATTCGTTTTCAACCATTAGTATGCCTTTAAGAATACAGGTTGTCCGGTTCTTTTGATGAGATATGTGACACTAACGATTACTTCTGACGACTTCGTCAGTAGCCGAGATAACTAAAATTGTCAGTTTCCAGTTTATCCCATTTTTCAACCATATACTTGATTTCAGCTTGCCATGAGGTGCAGCCAGAAAACGGTGTCCTGGCTTCGGGTTTACTGGCCTCCGGCTTGCTAAGTGGGAAAGTGCGTTGTGATGTTCTAGTGAGTCTACGCCACTGACAGGCAATAAAGCAATAATCAGTATAGTGTTGTGGAGATTGTTGAGTTTTATTCAAGATCATGAAACCGCCGTTGTCAGAACACCATTGAAATCTTGAGAGCACTGGACGGCCGGTTCGTCCTATTATGTGACGGTACGTATCCAAGATTCCACTGACAGGACTTGAATCTAGGACCTTTGGTCTTGCGCGCGAACGCTTAACTTCTAAACCAATTAGCCGACATCCGACGGTGGTAATGTCCAACTTCAACCAAGCAATTGCTAAAACGAAAACGTCATATGTGGGCTGATATGACCTTACCTGTGGGTTGTCACGTCCTTTGTAACCCTATGTCCCTTGTGAGCAGATCATGATTAAATCTACTAACATATGCATGGTAACTTTTGCGATTAGTTCCTTAATTGTGGAAAATACTCTTCTCTCGATATCATCCGGATTGATGAATTTCGCATTTCCACGAAGTTGGTCGGTTAGAGTATTCGTACTTTGCCAGCAATTTGGTATGAACTGTCTGTAGAAGCTTACTAGTCTGTTAAACCTCCGTAGCTGCTTGATTGTGGTCTGTTCTGGGTAATCCAGTATGGCTGCCACTTAGCTTTTTAGAGGTTGGATGCACTAAGCATCAATTGTATATCCGAGGAAATATAAGGGGCTTATTCCGATTTGACATTTCTGAATGTTTGCTGTAATGCTGTGCTTTCATAGTCCTTTAAAGACAAGGTCTAGATGCTGGAGATGAAATTCTTTGTTCTTACTTGCAATCAGGCAGTCACCAACATACTCATTCACGAAGTTGAGACCTCGAAGAACGTCATCAATGAAACTTAGGAAGATTTGGGTAGCATTTCTTAAAGTGGGGGACATGTGCAAAAACTAGTAGAGTCCGAAACGAGTGACGATGGATACTTCAGGAATATCGACAGCAGCCATGGGAGTTTAGTTGTAATCTTTAACCAAGTCTATTTTCGAGAAAAAACAGTTGTACCTTTCAAGGTAGTCGTTAAATCGTGGATGTGAGGCAACGGGTTGTCGCATTCAATCGCCAAAAGTCACCATTTGGACACCAATCATTGCTATCCTTTTTAGGGACCATGTGCAAGGGAGAGGTTCATGGGCTGTTTGATGGCCGGATGATTCATAAATCTATCATGTGATGGAAATCGCCCTTTCAAGAATACAGGTGATCCTGTAGTCGTGATGTGATGTATAACATTGCTGGTTAAACACGGCAAGTTCAGCTGAGTTTGGTATATCTCAAGGTACTTATCGAGTATATATTGGCAGTATGAATCGATCGTGTGTCCTATTGTGTTTGCGGATAGTCTACAACCGGAAAAATACGTTACACAAACAGATAAATTATTATTTCCGTCTACTAACCTCTGTTTGTGCGTGTTGATGAGTAAATTGTGATGTTGTAGCAGGCTTATACCAATGATTGGCATAGAAACATCTGCAACAATGAAAATCCAGTGGATGAGTTTGTGTAAACTTACGTTAATATAGACGTACCGCTTACCATATGTAACTACCGGTTTCCCGTTTGCCGCCTGTAAGTTCGAAACCGATTCATGCAGTCAGTCGCTGGAATTCGCTAGGAGAACGGTAATTTCTGCTTCAGTATCTACGAGGTAGTGTTGATACCCTATGATCTGAAGTCTTCAACTAAATGCTGCGAAAATGCCTTTCGAGCAATTCGTACACTGATAACGTTTAAGTGCATTTTTGCTTAGTTCGGCGGTGAGACTTAGTTGCCGATCTTTAACAGTTTTATTCGACCCTGTTTAGAGTATTTAAACATAGAGTTTCCTCCTACACTCCAAAAGGATAAGGATACATCGGAACGTGTCCAACTGTGAGTCACGAAATCAGCTCTGGAACTCAAATTCAAGACTAATGAAGAGAGCTTCAAACCATTAAACCTTTGACCATTAGGGTATATGCGCCTTGGAGGAGACCTTTTAATGGCTTGCAGCATCCTAAACTTCCTGGACATTCCCTTCAATCCCTACTTAAGCTCAGTTTAATCACAAACCTTAGGGGTAAACACACAGGAACTGGAGATACAACACAGCAGAATAGACTGTAGGCACACCTGCTCATTAAAAATAGTCAGGCGTTGTCGGTCGAGGTAGTCCAAGCGACTTTTCAGGAGTTCTTCAAGTGATAATTTATATATTCTTGGAGATTAAAGACAGTATCTTGCCATAATTTATCAATGTTTTCTTGCCTTTATCGCTAAATGTACCTAAGTTCTTACATGGAGGCATTGGTGATCCACTGTTACTAGATACGGAAGCCAGTTTAAAGAAAGCTTTTTCTATTACATCCAGAATCATTTGGACCAGGTGAACATTGGAAGCGGCGTTTTCAACTTCGCTGAGATCTTACTGTGAGTTCGTTCGTTCTCTTATTTTCTCTTTCTAACATGTCAGAATATGGCAAAAAAGTCTTACGACGCACTGTTTAAAATTCTACTCATTGGAGATTCTGGTGTTGGCAAAACTTGCCTACTCGTTCGTTATGTAGAAGAGTCTTTTGTACCAACCTTCATTTCAACGATAGGAATCGATTTTAAGATCAAAACAATTGAGTTAGAAGGAAAGAAAATAAAGCTTCAGGTAAGCCGAATCTTAGGGATACCGATTGAATGAAGATATGGGATACTGCAGGCCAGGAACGCTTTCATACGATTACTTCCTCTTACTATCGTGGTGCTATGGGTATAATGTTGATATACGATATTACCAGTCGCCAAACGTTTGATAACATCCAGACCTGGATGAATAGAACCTTTTCTTTAGCATCAAATGAGGTTGAGAAGTTGCTGATTGCTAATAAGTGTGACATGGCGCATAACCGAGTTGTATCTTATGAAGAGGGTTGGCGAAAAGCAGAGGAATATGGGGTAAAAAGAATCCTTCGCTAATAATTTTCTATAGATTGGTTTTCTGGAAACAAGTGCGAAGTCATCAACAAATGTACACAAGGCCTTCGAGGATTTAACTCGCGCCATCCTCCATAACACCTCCATACGTAGACATGAGTCATCTACGGTGACTCAGGTCCACCGGTTAGTCGAACCTCCAAATTCCATTTCTGGAACATGCTGTAGTACAGGATAGTCCTTCCAGTGATTATTTTCCTCACCGTTTTCCTTTCAACTTATAGTAATGCTTATAAATACAATGTTACGATTCATCATAAGATCCATATTTTCGGCCGCCAAAAGACATTCAGAGTTTTAGTTTCTGTCGTAATTTTGGTTTAATCTTTGTGTAGAAGTGCTTCTGCCATACTCTGGATCTACGATTTTGCGTTCGGTTGTGATGATACACTTGCGCTAGCGTTGAAATCCTTTGTTATACAACACTAAATGTTTTTTCACTTCATATGAAACCTACAAAGCCAATTAGTCACCATTTACTTTTTAAATGTAAATATGTCTGGATTCTTATATCTGACTTTTTGTCTGCATAAAACCATTTATCTATGTCTCTCGGCTTTGAGTATATGATTAGTTATTTTGTTTCATTTTGTGTTTCTTGGAATTGTACTAAGATTGCTTTTATTTACTGACTTTCCCGTCCATCATTCCCTACCTTCATAATCCACGTGGTGTATATGTTGATTTTTGGGAGTTGTAAAAGTAATATTAAGAGAATAATTAAAACCAAGTACTTATATAATCTCACGGTTTATCGTTTCTTATACCTAGTTTAGCATGTCGGTTATATAGGGTTACTGATGTGTACATAATACTACAAAGTTTATGAACTTTAGAACCATATCTAGTGCGAATACATATACTGGTCTTAATTTTCACATCACATCGTTACATCAGTACAAAACTGAAAAGGAAAAAAAATATGGAATTAAAAGTACTTGCGATCCACACTTACCACTTTCTTCTAGTTACGTTTGATGGTGTTGACGAAACCCTAAAAACCTTTTGTATAAAGTTTACTGGCGAAATGCTTGCAGTATGACGATAAGGCGTCTTATGTCTCTATGCTTCGATAACTACCTAGCTTATACCATAAAATTTGAATGTGTGAATTTGAGTTCCAATCTACCTCAGTGTTAAGATTACATGCACAACTTTTTACTGATTGATGCAATTCATAATCAGAGATAAAACGCGATAAACTCGGTTGCTTAGTTGATGTGATAAGTAAGTCTGTCTAAAGTTAGTTTTAGTTTCGTTTGCTATATTCGTACATAACTCATTGGAGTCACTTTTTTATATTTTGAAACCGGTGGTTGACTGTGTTCTTTAAAAAGTGATCTTTTCGTTTGAAAACATGATCTTAGGGATTGTAGGTCAAAAAATCGTCTATGAGACTCCTTTTTCACCTTCCACTGTATGTTAAGATTTCTATCTTATATGTTTGGATGATTCTTACAAATCGCCTTTACGGTAACCGGCTTTTTAGCATACTTAGGAAAAGTACTCCCGTATTGGGAGATCATTACTCACTTGATAAGATCATTGAAGTTTAGTGTGTCCTACACCTCAGACCAAGTGCTTTCAAAATAATTTGAATTTGTACTGAAATAATTGTATTTTAACCTTATCTTATTATGTTTGTGTACTGATGCACTCTTATATAAATGTGGAAGAGCTCTGTGCAACCAATTTCAAGGTACTTTTCCGGAGGCCTTTGATAACGGTATCCTTACTATCAGGTAGTCTCTTTGTACTAGTTAGTCTATATTTTCTGTGTTAAACTTATAAATCATAGCTTTTTGATCACCGTGAAGTATGTGGGAAAAATTTTCTGACGAGGGATTTGCAGTTCAATCACCTTAACTTGTATTTCGGTTTTGAGCACTAAGCAAAGTTTCATCGAGCTGACACTCGCTAGATCTTGTTCTGGTTTTTAACATTGTTATTTTCTATTCTGGTAATAATGAAGACTAATAATTTTGTGACTATTTTAAAGCTAATTGTTTTTAATAATTGAAATGATATTCTAGTTCTACCAAACAGTACATCTACAATTGCAATGTGTGTATCCATGACTTTTCTTTGATAGAAATCCTATCAAATCTCAGTCTTCTAAACTATGGGGAATAAAACTCGGCATTTCCCTCTCAATGTGTATACATCTATTCTCGTTGCTTTGTTTGTTACGCCCTTCTTTATATTGTAGGATTTTACCAAACTAGTATTAACGGTGTTCCTGTTCAACCCTTAGACGTCAGTGTTTGTGTGCTCACAAATATGCGGATAGTTAAGTCGTTATCATGCTGAAATAATGGTAGAAATTACAAAGTCGTTCCGACCCAACTGTTGCTGAGGCAGTTTTCTCATTTTTATTGGTACTCACCAGGTAAAATAACTAGAAATAAATAAATACATAAATAAAGTATCTAAATAAAATCACAGGTGACTTTGAATGCAGTATCATAAATAAACACACATAGTAAATTAACTAATCCACTTTAAAATTGCTAATATAGTTACTATTTGGGCTACTAATTAAAATGCCTTAATATTAACTGTAAACTAGAGTGGTTTTACCACCAATAGAAAATTACGAAACCCGCCCCCCCTTAACTTGTACTATTACAGCTCTGGTATTTCTTGATGGTTTTATGTTGTTTGATCTCATGACTTAATGAAATGTGGAGACATGGGTTCCATTTCCGAGCAGATGACTTTTATCACAAGAACACCTGATAGATAACTAAAGGAATTGGATATTTTGCAGGTAAGTTGCTATCTATATCCTACCGTTATATGTATAACTGTTGACATAAAGAGTTCATCATTCGTGTGTGGGCTGTGATACTGCCCGGGTGCCCAAACAGAAGCAGGTGGTTATCTTAGGGGGCCACACCCCGAGCCTTTGACCTAATGGTCTAACCCACAAGGCAGTGGAGCATCGTAAGGAGATGCAATCCCATGGTAGCCGGTGACCAACGATTGGTTCATACGCCATTTGTTCCCGCAGGATACTGGAGCCCATGTGCACCATTGGTTTGTGATCCGGTTAAAGCGCCGGACGTTCGCTTTTCGTCCTCTCATTTTCGTAAACAACACCCCCGCCACGAGAAGGCAATGAGTAGGACTTCCCTGGCAGAGTCTGTGTACGCGCGGCCGTGTGAGAGTATTTCGAGAGGGAGAGCGAACTCTCCCCATTCTCGGCCGTACCAGGGCATTCGGGGGCGTATATATATTGGCGCTCTCTTGTACCAATATTCATGTGTTCAAATAATAATAATATAATGTATAACTGTTGACTTACGTCTCGGCTTTTATGAAAAGCTTTTCTTAAATGTCAGTGTAAATGTTGGGTTGCTCATATTTGCTCATGCCATTTGAGCTTAGTGGTAAATGTTGATTAAAATCACGTTTAATATTATTTGACAGATTTGTTCACTTGCACGAAAATGTGACCGACCGACTAACTATCATAAAGTTACTAACCCCGTTTCCTACTTACTGACCTATGAAGTCCAACTCTTACTCTGATCAAATTATTAACTGAATAGTGGTTTACATGTTAAAATACTCGGTTTCTAATAAGTAGATCTTAAATTCGGTCCCTATCTCACTTATGATGTAAGTACCCAGTTACTATTACTAGGTTTCATATTTAGAGTGTAGTTTGAGTGAATTACATGAACATGTACTTATTGTATGAGTTAAACTAGTAAGCTTTATTCTAGTTTTGTGTCTAGTTGTTATGGGAATGGGAGATGTGTAATCACTCATATATGTTCATAGTATTAAGTGACATAATCACTATGTATTTAATTTTTTAACAAGTTCACTGGTTGGAGTGAAAAATGAATTTTTCCAACGTTCCTTTTAGTAAGTGATTGCTTAAAATTCATATTTCTTGTTGTATTGAAATGTTTCCGTAATAAATAAACAAACATCTATATCATTATTTCTTAGTACTTATAGTGTGGTACTTATTCATTTTTTCACTAACTTTTCATTTGTGATATGCTTTAAAACCAAACACACACTTATAAATTTTTTTGAGTCTTAAAATGGTCACGATCGCTTGACACACTCAACATTGAAACTTTTTGATTAATTTCCTGAAATTATTTTTGATGCAGTTATCAGTGATTAGAGACAGTTGAGTTATTCCAAAGCATGAGCTAAATAAAATATCTTGTTTTGTGTGTAGAATGTGTTTCCTTCTAAATAGGTGAAAATAAGAACGTCCGTCACTCGATAAATACAACTTGGCATAAATGTGTATTAGCTAAATTTGCCATGTAACAACATCGTGGCTGGTGAAAATTAAAAAAGATACCAACCAAGGCAACGGAAACGATAGTAGTTTATAATTTTGAAAATGACTGTGTAGTGAATATGGTTTGAAAGGACTGTATTCACGGAACAAAAAGCATAAAGTAATATTCGAACTCGAAATCTAGTGGATTCCAAAGCTTGAATGCATCTGTGCCACCACGATCGATTTTGAGCTATATCAGTTATAGTCTTCTAATTTTGATCCGGATCACCCCATCCATCCAGACTAAGTAGCTTGCACCTTCCTAAAATATTGATCAACAATGATTTCATAAACTGGTAATCGTTAACCAACACACATAACATAGGTTTTAACCACGTTAGTCAAGTAAGATCCATAGCCTCGTTAATTGATTTCCAATCCATACCCTTTACTCTATGTCTAACTTCAGCATTGCTCACTTGGTTATTTCGCCATACGGTGAAATGCTCATGTCCTCAGTCAGTCAGTCAGTAACAACGTAGAACTTCGTACGTACGTACATCAGTTCGAGTTGCCACATCACATTAGCACAGAGATGCCGTGGTCAATTCAAATCCCGTAGTGGTAGAGGTAATAAGAGTATAAGCAGTAATCGGAAAGATTAGTGTTTGGAGATGTTACTTAAAGAGTATAATACAGTGAAATAAACTTGGGAAGAGAAAAAAAAGACAAGGGGGAATCAGGAGATCAAAATTTGGGAGAACACAATACAGTGAAATAAACTTGGGAAGAGAAAAAAAAGACAAGGGGGAATCAGGAGATCAAAATTTGGGAGAACACAAAGAGTGGATGCACCCGCGCCATTGCAAACGATTTTGAGCCATGTCATTCAGGGTCTCTAACCATCGGTTGCTATCATCTCGCGGTCCCCAACCAGGTAGTCTACACCTACCGACATGACTCAGTCCACTTGTCAGTGACTTCATCGACTTGTGCCATGTTTTGGTCTGGCCGCCCCTAGCTTTCTCCCAACCTACTCCTATACCACTGAACATCGCACGTCGAGGCAGTCGGTCGTTGGGCATACGTAACACGTGTCCCAGCCATCTCAACTGATGAAGTTTCACCACTTCATCAATTGATTTGCCATCCTTACCTAGTACCCGTTTCCTAACAACTGTGTTACTTACTCGATGGTCCCATGATATACGAGCAATGTTCCGAAGACACCTATGATCGAATACTAGTAACCTACGAATATCCTCTACTCTTACCGGCCATGTTTCACCGCCATAAAGTAGGACGGGACGAACTGCTGCGCAGTAAACACGTCCTTTGATTGATAGACGGATATCTCGCCTACACCATAAATGACGCAAGTTGGCAAAAGCTAGTCGAGCCTTCTGTATCCGTGCTGAGATTTCGTCACATACCAGACCACAAGGACTGATGAGACTTCCAAGATAAGTGAAGCGGTCGACACATTCAATTACTTCACTCCCTATCATTAGTTCGGGTGTCAATGCAACTCAATCCTGAAGCAAAATTTCGCATTTCGAGGGAGAGAATCGCATCCCGAACATGCTTGCATTGTTGCTTAGAGTGGTCAGAAGACTGCATTTTGTCAGCGTCTTCACCAAATAAAACTATGTCATCAGCATATTCTAAGTCAACAAGTGAACCTCCCGGTAGAAGTTCAACCCCTGGAAATTTAGATGAGAAGAGTGTCATCTCTAAAAGTACGTCGACCACAAAGTTGAACAAGAATGGGGAGAGTGGACAGCCCTGACGAACACCACTTGAGGTAATCAATTCTGATGACAGTTCGCCATAAGCTCTCACTCTACCAGTTGTGTTCGAGTAGAGAGCCTGAATAAGGTTAATGTACTTCTTTGGTACTCCCTTCAGTGACAAACACTGCCATAGAACCTCACGATCAACAGAGTCGAATGCCGCCTTAAGGTCGAGAAATACTACCATTGTGGGGCGTCTAAACGTGTGTCTGTGTTCTAGAACCTGACGTAGTGTGAATATTTGGTCTATACAACCACGTCCATGTCGAAAACCAGCCTGATTTTCTCTAGTCTGTTCTTCACGAGCTTTGGTTAGGCGTCGAAGTATTATTGAGGCTAATATTTTAGACACTATATTAGTCAAACTGATTCCTCTGTGATTGTCACAAGAGGACTTTTGTCCTTTCTTATAAACTGGCACAATCAGTGATTGAGACCAGTCAGATGGGATTACGTCCAGTTCCCAAATTCTACCTAAGACCTCGGTTAATTTCATTGCTAATACTGGACCACCATCCTTAAAAATCTCAGGAGTAAACCTGTCAGGGCCTGCTGCTCTCCCTCGCTTCAGATTTCCTATGGCTTTTTCAACTTCGTAAAGAAATGGAGGACTTACATTAACTTGCCATTCAGGTTGACTAGAGATCGTGAGAAACCGAAGTGTGGCTGAATGTCAGTTGAACTGATCACTGAAGTGTTCTGCCCATCGATCCAATCTCCTGGATTGAGAATGAATAATATGTCCATCTTTCTCTGAGATTGTTTCGCTAACGGTTGGGTTCCTAATTCCGGTTTCCTTAACGAGTCTGAACAATTGTCTGCTATTACCTATTGCCGCTGCCTTTTCCATCTCTCTTGCTTTCGCTACCCACCACTGTTCGCGATCATTGCGTAGACTTCTTGTCAGCTTGCGCTTAAGCTGACTCCACTCTTCACTATGTTCAGAGCCAGGTGGAATGAGTTTCCGAGCATATATCAGTGCGATAAATGCTGCTGAGATCCAGTGTTTCTCTCTAACCTTCTGATTTACCTTACTAGCAGATACCACTGCTGTTTCCACAGCTTTTCGGATATCATTCCAAGCTGCATCGGGGTGGGCATCACATACATGGCTACCTAACTGTTTTCCTAGTTGTTCCTGAAATATACTCTTAGCTTGACTATCATTAAGTAGGCCCCTAAGAGGTTTCCTTGCAGCGTCTTTCCTACGTCCAGTAAGCCGCAGACAGATACGCGCTCGTACTAGAGCATGATCTGAATCTAAGCATGTGCTCCAGAATGAGCGACAGTATTTGCAAGGAACAGGCGATTATCTGAGCATAGCTGCAACAGACAGTCGCCGTTATCTGTTCTTTGAGCCGCGACACCATAAGATCCACCTAGGTGTCTTTCCCTATCGCTTAGTTTACCTACTTGAGCATTAAAGTCACCGACCACTATTACTACATCCGAGCGCCTAGCTTTTCGGAGGTCGGAGAGCTTTCTGTAAAACTCATCTTTTACATCATCTGAGCTGCAGTCAGTGGGAGAATAGGCAGAAACGACGAAGAGGCAACGACGGGTGTCCCTATCTTTCCGGATTCTTACTGTTCCGTTCAGTCGGAAAGCGCACAAACGGCTGTCTACTGGGATTCAGTCTAAGAGAGCTAGTTCTGCTCTGGGACTCAATGCTTTACCTACGCCGGCGAGGCCACGGGAAGCAGAATCAGGGCTTCCAGATACACGAAGTGTGAATCGAGTCGGTTCCTCATTTTGGTATGGTGAGGTCAGACGAATGACGCTACTCGGATCCTGTATGCGCGTTTCGGAGACGCAGCACACATCGATGGCGCGGGATTCTAAAGTCCTAGCTAAGGAAGCCTGCTGTCCTATTTGGCACAGTGTTCGGACGTTAAAAGCTCCTACGTGTAGTTTAGAGCGTGGTTTCAGGAGACCAGGAATAGCGTTCCACGTACTCGAATCGTTTGCCCTAGTGGTGCGAGGTGATAAAGAGACGGGAGGAGGGTTAGTCATGGAGATAAGAGAGGTATTAGGAGGTGTAGGAAGGATTTGAATGTGACTAACTTGGTCTCGTGTGCTGTTACGGGTATGAGGGCTGATGTCACTTCCCGGCTGCCCACACCGTGGAAGGGTATTTCTTGAGGAACCTGAAAAGGAAATTGGATTAGTGTTGGTCTTGACGACCTGGGAGCGTGACCGCAGAGCCCAAGGGACAACTGCTTGAGGCCGGTCGCGCACGGCCTTTTTGTGGTAGGTTTTTAACGTGTTAGCTCCGTTCTTCAAAGAGCCTTATCTCCGGAGACGGAAATCCGTGAGGTAAGGTGAGGTGTGACATTTTTAGGGTCGACCTTTTCTAACCCCACCCCTCCTTGTGGGAAGGCAGCATCGCTGTCATGCTGGTTGTCTGAGGGAAACACCTTACTGCTGTCACACCCCTCTACAGTCAGCATTACAACTTCGCCCTCAGACCTTGAGTTGCTGCTTTTAGTCTTACCGTTCACCAATCGACCTGCCTGGCATGTTAGAACCTACAGGAACATATGTTCCAGCCAATATAGCTCGGTTGGGTCATCACGATAGGCAAGCCCGACCACCACGTCAAGGTAGCAGCTCATGTCCTACTAGGTCCAGAAGCTATATTTCACGAACTTTCAACTACTCTTAAACCACCTTGTATTTACAGACCAGTATTATGCTTACAAATTATGTTTTTTTGTATATGCGTATGTATTGGGGGCAGGTATGAAAAAATCCTTACAGTAGCCAGTACTTATTAGTTTTAGTTCGAAACTTAGCTGAAGTCGGTGAGATTGCAATCCTAAGATAAATTTAGCAAAGCACTCCTACTACATAACCTTCACTAAACAGATTGCTTAGTCACCGTTGTTTTCTAAAGTATGTTTACCTATAGAGAAAAGGTGCACAAAATAATTTATTATCATGAATTGACTGGAATTAAAACAAACTAAGGGTTATATTGTATGTTACTGATCTGAAACATTTGGCGATTTCATAAATATATTTAAATATATAACTTCAAGTGTAACTGAATGACATAAAATGTTGTTTAACCTCTTATTTCCTAACCTTGAGAATATATTTAAAAGGTACATCAAAAATAGGATCGTATTTAGTAATTTTCAAAATATGTCCCGTTTTATTTGTAACTCATTGGCTACATTTCATAATATTTCAAGAACTGCCTTTAAAAGGAAAACAATGAATCATTTTGGATTCAATAGACATCTATAAAATACGTTATTATATAAAGCGTTTTATACTTGTCTATCCTATTGAATTCAGAATGCTCCAGTCTTAAAATATACAGTGTAACATAATATTACAATTTTTAAAGTGATACGTGATTCATGATATGCACATCTATTATAATAGGCGAGATTCGTATTAATTGATCAAGGACCTATATATATATATATATATATATATATATAATGTGTTATTCACCGTACATAACTAATTGTAGAATCAAAAGATTTGGGTAAGTACAATCACATGCCATTAGCGTAATTAAATGATTATAGAAATCAAATCACGATATGATTCAAAAAACACCTAAATAACATGTATATTATGTGTGTACGCATACAGGTATTCGTTCATAGATAAATTTATGCACATTAAAATATGTAAATCTGCACTTGCGATGCTTCTAAGTATATATATATGTTTTATGTGGGGTCATTTGAAAAAGCGCAAATTTCGACTGATCAGAGTGAGAGTGAAGAGAACTACTTATCGATAACAAGCATAGACTCGAATTTAATAAATTATTATATATAGTTCAAATAAACTATGATCATAAAAAGGCAAAAGTTGCCACGATACCTCATGATTATTCATAAACTATTACGCAGTAATGATAATTTATAAGATACCAAAAACCCACTAAAATGCAATCAA